CAAATAATAAAAGAAAAGTTTTATTAATGAAGTATCGAATATTTAAAAACTGTATTAAGTAAAATTTATTTTATTATTTTAAAATCTAAAATATTTAAACTATTGGACTATTGGAAATTAGTTTGATAAAGAGAACCAAAATAGAATAATTACTATCCGGATACTTTAATTAACTACATTTTATCAAACTCTGAAATTAAATTATAAAAAGAACAAGCCCTAATCCTATTTTGACAAACGAAACATTTCAGTTTTGAAGGGGTTTCAACAGGTACGTTTGTTTATTAGTCAGTATTTACATACTGGTTATTATTTTGGCATGTCATGTTTGTCTATTGTTGCTAAGTTGTCTTCATCTATTATATGACTGACTTTTTTATTCCTTTTATCAATTTAATTTGTTCGTCACTTTCTTGCTTACTCACTTACAATATGTTGATTCTTTAGGTTTTCAATTACAAGATAAATTAACCTTGAATAAGGGATTTTCGTTATCATAATTTTATGCTCTTTTGTTTATTTTTCTTAATTTTCTCATTCATTATATTTAATATTACCTACAGTTCCACGATCTTTTTTATTTTTAAAAATTTCAATTATTGGGCGAATCAGATGAGAAGGATGGTGGAATTTTAAACTAGGCTGGTAAAAATATGAGGATGGGTTTTATGCCTCAGCAGTCACTACATTATAGTACTGTACAATATGTGAGCATCATGAAATCAACCTCATATACTGATAAGCTTAATCAGGTGTCAATGGACTTTGGATAAACAAGTAATGAATATGTCCTATAGCAAATTTATTTATGGAAAGTCTATTGTCTTGTTCAGCCAATTTATAAGCAGAAAATACTTGGAATCTAGTATAATATCAGTCATGTTTCGTTTCGTAATGACAAAGAAGCAGATAAAAATAACAGTAAATTCTTGTACATTGTGGTCACCCTTCATCCAAAATATTAGTTCAACAAATAAAAAAGGATCCTACTATATCATCAAAATTAATTATTAAAAAATATGCCCACATGACTATAATAAAATTAAGTTGTGATAAAACCATACTTACTAAAAATTACTTAAATAATAATTGAAACTGAATTCCAAAAGAAATCTGTATTTTTTCTTGGGATTGGTTTTGGTTAAGAGGTATTTTTTTTTGTTTTCAGATGATAAGAAATTCTTTGTTTTATGCTAAAGATTTAGAAAAATACTTGGGAGGCGTTGGAAGTTCCAAACGATCATTTCTAAAAAAAATACCCTATCCTCATGGTAATTGATTGGTCTTTTAATAATACGATCCAAACCCATAGAAAATTAGTGGAATATCGATCGTTAAGGAAATAGTGGCCAAAATATAAATGAATTAGAATGATTTATGACAGAGGAATGGGAAATATTTCAGAAAGCATTATAGCAATTTTATAAAAGAACGTAATAGGCTTGTAATCAAAAAAAATTGGCAATTGTAAAATATTAATTTATTGTAATAAAATTCTGGCTTATAAATTATTAACATGTAAATTCTTTTTTAATGTCTATATTTAATAAATTTGTCCATTCAATTGTGATCCTTCTTTGATATTGATATGATAATATTTCTTTGATGAAGTATAAGTAAATAACCATATTTCTAATAAACATATCAAGTAGTTTTTTGATTCAATGATATATTTTGAGTTTGTAATAAAAGTTGTTCATTGATAGGAAGAGAAGTTGAGACCAAATAACCAAGTTTGCGACCAAGAATTAGTTTAAAGGGAATCTTGCAACTAGCACTTATGATCTAATATCATTTGATATCATATATCTAATGATTTTGAACTCGTTCGAACATTTTATCATGCCAGAAATGCATAACATTTAGTTTCCTGTTTTGTATTTATTTGCAAGTCTAATATGGTTCTATGATAATATTATTCTTGATTGAAAAATGCACAACCCAAATCTCTGATGGATAAAGATGTTCAACATAACCAAGAACATTTTGTTTAAAATTGATTGAAAAACTTTTGCTAAAATTCGAGTACAGCATAATTATCCCTTTACTCAATATTCATAATAATGGTAATTTCCATATTACTGATCTTTCAAAGTGCTATTGGCCGGTACCTTTGGTAACCAATTATATAGTACTCAGTTCATCTGCATCATAGACACTTTCCCTAGGTACTTTTGTATATTGTCTATTCGTAGATGTTTTGAGCGGGGGGATCAATAGTATCCTTGTCAAATGTATGTACAGCAGATTTATAACTTCAAAGATATCTAATGAACCATCAGCTTGCAAAGGTACTTCATTATCAAGAATAAAATATGTCATTTCAGGAATTATTAATGAAGTGCTTATTAAATCTGTTGCACTTCTCTTTTTTCCTTTGGAGATGATAGCTATTATTAATTTTAAAAACATTGGCCTATATAAAAGAAATCTGGATGAGAAAATACTTCATAAAAGAATAATTAAAAAAAATTAAAATGGATGGCTAGATTTTGAAATATAATGTACATACAATTAAAGCTTTGTAAATAAAAGATTTTCTTCTATTTTTAGCAGATCTTTACGGACTTCTTGAGACATATTTACATCATCATTAATACGATTTTTAAGAGATAATGCTTTATTTAGTTTTGAATATGGGAATTGTCCTCCCAGAATATGTCTCAAATTGATACTTCGGAAGAAATTGCTTCATTCTCTCACGACTTGTGAAAAGCGGGGTAAGTTGATATACTTGAACCTCGATTATGTGCAACATTCTAAGAAGACATAATTTTGTCAACGTGATCATAATTACAACTAATAAGGTTACATAATTATGAGAGACTACTTTTCGTATGATAAAATCAAGGGTAATTAAAAAAATTTGAAAATATAAAATTAAAAAAAATTTATAAGTAGATAAAAAGAATTTTTGAAAAATTTTATAAGTAGTAAATAAATTTGTAAGGATCAAATTTACCTTTTAATATTTTATCGTTCAAGAATAGACGCGTTTCTTGTTATTTTAGTCACAAATTAACGTGATTTTAATACTTGCTCTCTGAAAATTTTCAAATTTTCATAATTTTATAAGAAGTT